AATGCATTCTTATCATCATCACTTCTTTCATTATTATTAACAGATATGATAACAGGTATGTCAAATCTTACTCTCCATCTTATTATAATTCTTTTTTTAGGAGGAAAAAATTATTACAAGGTGTTAAATTTTATGCATCCTTCATTCTTTTACAATTACCTTAGAAAATTTAGCTGAAAGAAATAATATTTGAAAGTTTATTAAACTGTTAAACCATTTACTAACAATTGTTTCCAGATAATATTACAATTGAATACCAAAAATATGGTTCATATTAATTGATCATCTCTCTATCTGTAATTTTAGCTTTTATTTGGCATAAATTGTTCACAATTAAAATTTTAAATTAATTAATAATATTGCTGAAATATGATTTTGGCATTTTTGAGGATCACACTTTGTACTGGGACAGTGTCCAGCAGGTGATAGAGCATTGCCAAGATACAATTGTTATTAAGGAGTTTGTTGCCCAGATAGTTCAGATAGTCGAAATTTTCTCAAACTTTTCAAGTATTCCTTCCACAAATCCTATCACTTTATGTACCAAATAAGCTATGCAAATTTATCATTGTTGTTTTAGAAAAAATTAGATGAGATAAGAGAGAATTCTTCATTATTTAGTGATATTAGTTTGACACCAATATTTCTGGATATATTTAGGGAGTATTTTTAATTTACCAAATACTTAGCAGCATGAAGTTATGTGTGGTTTTGGTCCTGAATAACAATTTTTATATAAAATTCAAAATTTTATACTCTTGAAGCTAGTTTCAGGGTGATGGTACAATTACGGGACAAAATATCTATTCGAAACTTAAGGAATTTAGTAAATCATGGGAAAATCACCGGAAAAGTCTATGTACTTCTGTTGAATTTATTCCAAAGCGTTGTGAGGAAGAACTGCCGAATGTCTTTTATTTTCGTAGTTCAAGGATTTATTTTATTTGGAAAATATCTCTCAGCATCTGTTTCTCGAAAGATGTGTCAAGCAATGCTAGGGTGTATATAACATATGGTAATTTACTGAATTCTAACTGACGCATTTCTCCCATGAAGTTCTGGCTCTTGTATATTCCTATCATTTCAATTATTTTTCATTTCTAAGCAAATTGTAGTGGTCAGTTAATTATTCTATACCTACTGAAAATTTCGTAGACAGGATGCAACTAATTTAAACTAAAAGATTATATATGGTAGAGAAATGGTAGTTTTTATCCTTTTTGTACCTTGCACGGATTAGTTGACTGAGCTTACAGGAATGATTTCCAAGTTAAATCTTTTAGGAAGACATATTCGAAACAGCGCCCCAATTACATTATACTAGCAACAAATCAAAACCGTTTGAGTATGAGAGTATGAGTCTCACAGCAAGCCTCACAGTTGCCCGGTATGCAAAAAAAATTTCTCTCGATTACACCATAAGGAAGATCATATGAGGACTCATATCGGTAAGAAGCCATCAAGCTGTCCGATATGGAAGAAAAGTTTCAGAACACAATTTTATTCGTCATATCACATAGTAACTCACAACAAAAATAGACCAATCTTCAACTGTACTATATGCACTAAAGTGTTTTCTGAATAATTTCTCTTTGAAATCACGCAAGGAAAATTATAAAACTGAGCAGGTTTTAAACTGAAATACGCGTTATTATTTCTGATATTGCTGATTATTTGTATTCTATATTAATTAAATCCTTGTCACTTGCTTCTATAATCTTCTGCTGTTATTACTGCTATCGCTTGCTCATTAGTTATTCATTCTTCGTTTTATATGGTTTGTTCTTTTTCCATTCTTTTATTATTTTATTTTAGCGATTAAAATTCTCTGTCTCTTGTACACTTGCACATTTACTAGGCAGCCTTTTCATTAATAATGCATACATAACAAGCAGGAAATTTGCACATTATACACGGGAAATCTGCAAGTAAGTATCACTGCTGTTAAATTACTGATGAAATAAAAATCCTTATATGAATTTTCCACCCAATTAGGGTAGAAATAAAACGGGAGTAAATTTTTGGGAAGAGAAAGATCCTTTTAATCACAATAATTAAATTCTCATGTCATTTCATAGGTCATCTATTCCTTTTATTTGTCAGTTCACATGCAAAATTCCACCAGTAATGGGTACATCAATTTTACTATTAGCAACATTTCACTCAGAATATTTGTTATATCCAATCCAACTACAACTCATATCAATGAGTAGCCGAACGACTGATCAGGAAGTTTCAAATCTGCAGCGCATATGCAAAGGAATCACAGGATAGAAAATTAAATGTGTCTAGCTATTTTTGATTAAGTGCGATTTTCGCAAAACCACTGAT